CTGGTTTTCCCATTAAGCACAATGTTATCTGTACACTGTATCTAATTTGCATATTAAAGTGCTGTTGGGACAGCATGTTGAAAAAAGAAGTGTAATAATGGGAGTAGTAATTGGCCAGATTTTCATAATAATATCTAATATTTCATAAGAATATTGATATATAATTTGTTTTCCTATTCAATTCTTTTGTCTCCCAAAATGTATAATAAACATGCTTTTAGTCCTGGTGTCCTCTACAGTGGACATGTCTGAAATGATGTCCTATTTCATAACAGGAAGTCATATTTTGATTTGAAACCCCATAACATTTTCCTGAGATGTTGATTTATGACAAACAATTTGAAAATTAATCAAATTTAAATTATAATTAAAAAATATTATCATATTTCCATAAGGATGTACAATTTTATCACTAAATTAATGTCAGCCATTTAAAAAAAACAAGGAGATGGAGTGGCCATGGTGAAACATCCAATCATTTGGTATCTCTGGAAAGCCCTGCATGCGCTCTGTACAGGACATCCAGACTTAAAACTGTGACATGTGAGGTCTCAGAGAAACTCACTAAAATATAATGTCCACTACAGAGGCAAAAACTCCTTAGCTGGGTCTCAGTTTCTTATAGTCAGTATGTTGAGGACCCATCAAACTAAAGTGTTAGAGGATATTAAGCAGACAGTCTACTAATACTCTAATGACTGCTAGTTGACATGTAGTTGCAAAGTTACTTACTGTTAGTAGAATGTATAAAGTGGACGATCAAAATAAAGTGTTACCGGGAAATGTCTGTAAACTTAAAGGATAATGTCCTGGCAGAATCTCTTTTTTTTTCTTACATTGTGTTGAAACTGTTTTACTGTTTACAGTCATTGCAAAAATTTAGCAAATCGATTAATCTCATTTGAATTATTAAAAAGAACTAGTTCTAAAGAATTATTTAGCTTATTAATTGCTTAATTAGATTTTTAGTTTTGTAATGATTTACCAATCATAATGTAATTACTAAAAATTACTTCATTGCTCAGGAGATTTTATGGACATTTATCAACTTAAAAATCATAGACATGATTAAAAAGACATAGACATGAATGACAGTATTGATATATAGTAGAGTGTAGTGTAGAGATATAAAACTGTTGATAGCATATATGGTTTGGAGAAACTTTGATGTGAAATGTTCATATTGAAATGTGTGGCTTTTAATTGCATGCTTTTGGCAAATATGAACACAGTTTGAGGCATTATACCCTTTCACACAAACAGTCTTTACAGGTAAATTACCGGTAAATTACCATTAAGAGGTCATGTGTGAACAGGACCTTTTCAAAAATACCGGCAAGTTTGTTTACCGGTATGAGAATTTGTAATATCACCAGTAAATTACCGGTAATGTGCTCTGTGTGAATGCAGAACGAGATTACCGGTATGAGCATGCATGAGTTCAGAACAGTAACATTCTGACACAGATAACGCATTTAATCCGCACTGTGTCGTTCGTTTTGAATCTATACAATGTCTCTGGGCCAAAAGCAGCTGCATGATTGTGAATGTTTGACAAAAAAATGAAAACATCAACAAAAACTCTGACCACGTATACCCCTCCATGTTTACAAACACAACACCGGTAGGCACAGATGTTTAGAGTTAATTTCCAGTTAATTATGTCACAGAATTTACCGGTATTTTGAACCTGATGTGTGAATGGTACTTTACCGGTAAAAAGATGGAACGTCATTGCCTGTGTGAACAGCGCATTTTTTTATTTACCAGTAAAGTCATTCCGGTAATTTTAAGGCAATTTACTGGCATTACTGTGTGAAAGGGGCTATTGTCGAGATCCCTAGAGAAATCACTGGTGTGTGTTTTTTTTCAGGACTAAAATTTTATTACTATTATGCCCCCCCATTTATTCTTGTCATCTACTAAAACGATTGAGATATTAAAGAGATATTAAAGGGATGTGTGATTTTTCTTTCATATGGGTAAGTGTATGATGGTGGTTTTTAATATAGAGCATGAAAAGTATAAGCATAGCAGGAAAGAAAGAAGAGAACAAGGTAGTGCCTTAAGAGACCTTATTTGAAACCCGCCTTTATTTCTCAGCAGGTTGGATTTAGTATATTCCAACCAGAATATATGCCAGTCCACCCTCAGAGTAAATGTATGCAGTCATAGTCAGTGTTTGCGGATTCTGCCTATCTTTGTGTGTGTGTGTGTGTGTGAGAGAGATCCCTGCCAGACTATATAAGCATGTATATTCATACAGTGTGTAAGTGTATGCTGTGTGTGTATATATATGAGTCTGTTCTCGCTGTCAGGGCAGGCCTGATCCACTGAGCTTAAGGATCTCTCTCCTCCATAATGCATGTTGCCCTGTCTCAACCCTGATCCTTCAGCCCACTCTGATGCTTCACGCCCATCTCATCTCGTTTTATGCAGGCTTATTCCATCTTAATCAGGCTTACTCATGCCTGATACTCATTTTACTTTACTCTAAGTGCCTATCTTCAATCTTGATAACACAGACTCCATTTTATACAGTACGGATTAGCGCAACACGCTCTGGCTAATTCAGTCTTCTGTCGTCGTGCTGGTTTTTCTCCGGGCTCACAGTCGCTTTGCTTGGATCTTACATGGACTTCTTTGTGCCTCTATGAAAGAACGTGTGGATTAATAACTGGCCTTGACGAGCATGTAACACCTCTACAGACTGAATAATTCTACATTAGCTCCATTTCAGAACTGCTAATCTGCTCAGCAGCTATGCAGAGCAGGTCCTGCATGAATGTCATACCAGCTAATTGGGGGTATCAATATTAAATTGCATTATTCTGCTTAGAATGCTCCATGCATTCTGTTTATCATTACTTACAGGCCTCCAAAATACTCTCCAGCCTTTGTTGAAGAGTTCACAGAAATGATTTCCTCAGCGTTTGACTGTTTTGCTATTGCAGGGGATTTTAATATTCACATAGATAATGCAGAAAACAAAACTACAAAATAAATTATAACTGTTTTAAACACTTTTGACCTGATCCAGCATGTGCATGAACCTACACACAATCGTGGACATACGACGAACAAATACTTAAACTCAAATGGATACCTGGACAATTTTAAATCTGGTTTCCGACCGCATCACAGCACAGAGACAGCGCTCATTAAGATAATAAATGATATTCGCTTAAATTCTGATTCTGGCAAAATATCAGTGCTGGTACTACTAGATCTCAGTGCTGCGTTTGACACGGTCGATCTTAACATACTTCTAGAGAGACTGGAAAACTGGGTCGGGCTTTCTGGGATGGTAATCAAATGGTTCAGGTCATACTAAAGGCTGATTTATACTTCTGCGTCGGACCTACGCCGTAGCTTACGCATAGACACACACCCATACGCCGTAGCCTGACGTGCACCTCTCCAAAAATCTAACAGCGCGTCAATTCTACGTGGACCGCAAGCGCTGTGATTAGTCTGCAAGAACCCCTCCCTCCACAGGGTTTCTGCAGACATTAACAAGTTAAATTTAAGACTTTTTAAGACCTTTTTAATACCACCTTATATGAAATTTAACACCTAAACCTGTAATGGATATACACATTTTATTACATACATATATGTAATATTTGATGTGTATAAATTAAAAAGAAAACAAAATATAATTGCTGTAATAAATGGTATTTATAACTACGATATACAGCAAACTTTTAATGTCAGCAGACAATATTCCATACAAAATATCCCCGCAAAATAACTGCATCACTGAGATTTTTGGTGGAGTAAACAATTTATTCTGAAGCAATATTTTTATCAGTGTTTTATCAGCTTTTACATACTTAAATCTGCATATTTACCTTTACAAAGGCCTATTTTTAACCTTTTTAGATGTATGCATCATCTTACATGTCAAATTATTACAATTTATCAATAAATTCAATATACACTATAGGGCTGCTACCAGTCAGATTAAATAATTTACACTGCAAATAACAATAATTACAACTGCAATAAATAATGTTATGAGATTAATGTTTTAAATGCATTTATGAGTATACAAATAAGAAATGTTGAGGGGAAAAATGCATACTTTTCAACATACTTCTCAACTAAACTACCAGTAAGTGACGGTAAGTCACTTAATGAGTGAGTATTGAGTCATTCCTTCAACTGACTGAGTGTTTTATCATGCTGGCATCTTAAAGACGTTCGTGGACAGCTGACTCCTAAAGTTTTTGATATTCTTCATATTCTGTGTGGTGGTCAGAAGTCCGTCTCAATGTCTAGTCTGTTTTTGAGCTGGAATCCTCTTTTGGACAAACCAAAAAGTTAGATATTTGCATGAGACCGAGAGAATATTTTTTGTATAAATGGTAAGCTCAAAAGCTGTATTTTTTTGTGTATGTAAATATGATGTATTGTACCATAGCTCTAGCAGTCATTTGTTTGTGATGTTTCCCTCACATGTAGTTTTGAAATCACATTTATGACTATCCTGTTCACTCTTTTGTTCCCCAAATGTCCCATCATGTAATTGCTCATTAAAATGTAGCATTTGTCTTACGTATCTAGTGTTTGTCCTTATGTCTTGTTGTTTATGTCTTGTGTCAGTCATGTCAAAAGCAGTTACCTCTAACTTCTAAAGGTGCATACGATTCTTGGCAACACATATTTTAGGATCATGTCTGTGTCAGGTTTGTTGGGTGTTGTGTACTAATGCAAATGTAATTCTATTGTTCTAAAGACAGAAAACTATTTTAAGCAATAAGTCGTGCATTTCCAGTTGGTCTCAGTCATGTTTTGATTTGATTCAGTGGTGTTGAGTGGTAGAATATTGAGGAACTAAATATGGAGGAATGTCATTTCTTTCTGCAGCAATCATTTATGCACTTTAAGTTTGGATAAATAAAACAATTATGAACTCACTACACACCAAGCAGTGTTGTTATTGTTAACTGAAACGATTAAGAATTATTTTTAGTAATTGAAATAAGGCGGAGATAAAATACTAGATATTAGATGGAAAAACTTAGAAATGAGAGATATCGCCTAGCTGTTTCTCTTTAACAGATTTTTATTTGATCGGCTCCTGTTTCATATGACAGGCCAGAAATCAAATATACTTGATAATCGGCAGTAAAAAAAAAATCTCAGGGTAAACACACTCGCATACACATTAAAGGAAAAAAATCCATCCACATCCCACGCAGAAACACCAAGAGAGATCCTGCGTGGTTTCTTACTGGCCAGGTGCAGACAGACTTTTGTTCATGAACTGTTTCTTCACAAAACACACCCACCACTATAGAAGATGAATAGAAATGATCAACATTTGAATTTAGTTTAATATCATGAATTTGAAACATTTCACATAAGACACTAATTAAAAAATGGTTACGAAATGTCCAAGTTATATTTCAGTGTCACCAAGCAATGTGCTTAGTTCAATAAAAATGAAAATAATGTCACAGTGAAAAAAAAAAACCCATCACTAAGCAACAACTTTTTACAGTAACAGGACAGAAAAAAAATTTGCTTAAATGTCTTGCCACAATATAAAAAAAATGTGTTTTCGCAACAATTTTTGGTTTGTAATATTACAGTAACAAGACTTGGGAGGAAACGTGTTTATATGTCATGAATATAATGTTACAATGCACAAAACCCTAAAAAACTAAAAACACTCATTTAAACATATAACTTGAGGAAATATGTGTCCTGTTAAAAAAAATATAAAAAACCTCTTACAATTAACTTTTATTTTTGCATTGCAGTAACAAGACTTGAGGAAAACTGTTCTTAATTGTCATTAAAATGTCACAGTGCACAAAAAATGTAATCAATTAACTAAATGAATAAAATGCCTATAAATACCTCTCTTGCTTTTGTCAATCACCTTGATTTGACTGATAAATAATATTTCAATATGCCTCACCTTGCTTGGTTTGTCTGTCTGAGGGTCGAACACACGGTCACACAATCTCAGTCCCGTCTCCTGTCGGATCTGTTGCAGGTAAGCTCTCATCGTTTCTGTCCAGGAGAAAAACACAGTATCTAGGTCAATTCTGTAATCAGCAATAAAACTGCTAATAAACTCATCATAATGAAGGTCTTAGTGGATGTGCAAAACAACTAGACCTAAGTAAGTTTTGACTTCACTGTGCCATACCATCCTCCTGTTTGTTAGAGGGTTTAGCATACATGGCATTCAGAGGGAAGCCAGGTTCTCCGGGGATGGGAAAGTTGGTAATTCCCAGCGTGTACATCTCCTTCTCTCCTTGACCCCTTGAACTGCACTATAAATCATTTACGAGATTGTAGTTAGATAATGTATGAAGAATAAACTATGAGAAAAACGAACAACACCTGACAAATGATTCATCACTGACTGTTTGAAATATACAATGAAGCTTTTATTCTTCAACAGTTACCTTCTGGAGCTTCTTGAGGCATTCAGAGATGTAAAGAGTGGTGTAGATCAAAGTTCGATCTGCCTCATTCTAACAAAAGTATAAAAGTGAATATTTCAATATAAAATCTCAACAATAAAATAAAAAGACATATGAGAGGTATTAAAAAACGGTGTATATGCATATATAAAGAGTTTAAATCAGGATACAGTGAGAATATGGATTCTTCTCTCTCAGGTCAGAACTATGAATGCATGTTAAGACACACAAGGCATTTTTTAGGCTCAGCACAGCATGCTACAGTCATCCGTCTTACCTTAATTTCATAGTTCTTGAAGAAAACATTGGCTTTGAAGTAGTAGATGGCCTCATCGATAATATCTGTGTCTTTGGCTGAATATAGAAACAGGAAGGAAGAGTCGATTTGTCAGATGGCCATTTAAGGAAGAACCACATACAACTCTGATCTCACAGGACTGCCTGAAATCAAGCAAACTTTCTTACTTTCTTTAGGAGCAGGACCCTTAAACTGTGTTTTGAGAGGCAGCAATGCCATATTCCCCACCAGTTTGGTGTCTGCATCCATCAGGCTTGAGTGGTAAGCCTGAAGAGAGTGGGACATCACAAAAAATACAAGAGTTACTAAGTAATATTTTTTTAATATAGCAAATTTGTTTTAAAATGACCAACGTTTAAAGAAAACCAGTGATCACTGAGCTGAATGCAAATGAGGAACTCCAGTTGTTTGCATCATGGACAGATGCACAAATTCTGTTTCTAACAACACATTTCTGACACTTACATATACATATTTGGCAATAATGCATAAATATCAAAAACATAATAAAATATGTATTTGTAAAACTGTTACATTTGTAGAAAAACGGCCAGAGTAGGTTAGCTCTATGGCTAATAACGCTAAAATATATTTCTAGTTCGCCGCTGTTCTAAAACGTGGCACAACAAACTGCTCATAACACAAACAATTGCGCTCACCGTCTAAATTGTTACGTTTAATGATTTCTTACCGGCATTTTGGCGCAATATGTCCCAAATCTTGCAGGCAAAATGAATATGTCGACGCTGCGAGCCGCCGCTTCCGCTGTGTGTGACTGTCCCACCCAACACCGATACAGGAAGTTTCCAGTGCAATACCCCACCATAACCACTGGGGGGCGCCGAGGATACCAGCTTTGCCTCAGTTGTTTTTTCCCCTCAAAATGTCTTTACATCTTTTTAATATCACTTCTTTTAAGTAATCTAAATATGTTACATGTGCCATTTAAGAAAATGTCCACACACACCATTTTGATGTACCTACCAAGACAACATAGGAAGTACATTAGGATGTAACCAAATATTGATGAATGGGGCCAAATATATAATCTTAACGGTCCACTATTGAAGACCTCATAATGATAAGCTACTATTCCACGTCTCCATCAATGTGTTTCTTAGGCTGATGATACACGGGGCAATGTTTTGAGCAATATTGCCATCAACAGGCACCCAGTTGAGACACAGGGCCCACAACCAGATATATATAAATAGAAAATTGTTACCCATTCTCAATGGTAAAATGTGCCCGAGCAACATTGCTCAAAATAGTTGCCCGTAAAAACTGCTCACAATGTTGCCTATGGATTCTACACCACTGGGTTGTGACAGATGTAATGGCTGGATTTTTAATCAAAATTAAAACACCACATTTGTAATTTCCATATTTTTATTGCAGAAATAAATATGCACTTCTAAAAAATGGATTACATTTTATAAAACCCCGTTAAGATCAAGAGGCATTGCACAGGTTATGGTTGCATCCTTCAACTAATGACATTATGAATGACAGTGACACAAAACATAGATTAAATAAATGAAACCCTTAATTGAACAAATCTGGCTGTCTTTCAAGTGTGATCTCAAGAATCGTCTCTGTCTTGGAAGAACTCGTCGAAATTTGTGTTACTGGGTTCCCCATCAATTTCCTGGAAAAAAATAAAAGGAACAAATTTAGTTGTAATCTAAAACTAATTTAGTCTAAACAACTGTTTTGATAATAAACAAGCTACAGAAATATATATTTGAATCAAACATCAGTTCATAGCATATGGCAGTAATCTTATGCACAGACCTTGGGCTCTTTAAACTCCAGGTCTTCACCATATTGTATGGAGAAATCAATGTGCTGCAGGACAATGTTGATGCCCTCCTCATCAGTGCGGTCAAAGGGCAGGAAACGAACCATACTGTGCCGTCTTAGTAATTTACTACAGAACGATTGTAAACTTGACATTAAAAGGGATTATGAAAGATGCTAGGGCTGACCGACTAATCAAAATCAAAAAGTACTTAGTGCAATTATCAAAAAGGTAAGGCTGTGATTTAAATAAATATATATGCTGTGTGCTTCTAAATAAAGCATTTCACCAGATCTGTAACAAGAAACTTTATAAACCTGTAGCCAACAAAGGAGAGCTTTAGGGCTCCCTGTGGTTTTATGTTGTACTGTAAAATAAAATTATTATGAGTATTATATTATTATTATTAAATACTCTTTTTTTTATTTTATTGCTTTAGTACAATTAAAATAGTAATATATTTCCTTTGTTCAATGTTTTTAATTAATAATAATTATTATTATCATCAGTTTGTAGTCATATTGGTAAATAATCAAAATTGCGCAGTCCAGCAAACAAGCACAGCAAACCTGAAACTTTTTTTAAATCACATTTTTATTTGTAATCACAATTTTTAGAATAAAAAACCCCCCACTGTATTTATCAGTGCCTTGAGGCATAATCTTTGTAATTGTAACTTACCCAAACCACATATGGCCTTGGTTAATTTCCTGAATTTCTCTTTCCTGAGTTAATTCTCCTCCATCATTGAGTACATATCCGGGTCCAGATACCTGCAAATAAAATAAAAAACACAGTCTGCCATCTAAATCAAGGCTGAAGTGAATTATAAATGGATCACATTCGGTGAACATACTTCTCTATTTCCTTCTTAGCCTTTGGACTGAGTAGATCCATTTTGGTCATTATGTTGACTTGTGAGATTTCTAATGTCACCATGGCACTCAAAGCAGCCATAACTCCAGAGATAAACTAGATAAAAACATGACAACAAACATAAAATTTAGGTTTTTACTATTTCAATAATTTCTTACCCAAATCGCAAAAAATCCAGCCCATGCTTGCTGCATTTCCTTCATTTAATTTTTTGTCATCGCTCCACACACGCGAAACTCCCACTGCTGCAGTTGCTCCACAAGCTGCTTCATTACAGGCAGATGCGTATACAGCTCGATCTGACCTGCAGTCCAGAGGACACAATGCTCTGTATCCATGCCAATCCACAACAGCACCATATATCTGGTACATCACCTCTTACCAGGGTAATCAAACAGTATGTAGTCATCCTCCACATGACCAAGACTCTCCTCCAGCCAGTCAAAGGTGTTGGCGAAGTACTCCATACAGAAGATCAGTCCTCCATTGGGGCCGAATCTCAGAGAGTCATCCTCCATAACGTCATCTACCTGGATCAGTTCTCGAATATCTGTATAGGGTGAAAATTGTTACATTACAGAAATGACATTTATTGAGCTCATGGTCCATCAGGTTTTCTGCAGACTTGAACAAGTTAAATTTAAGACTTTTTAAGACCTTTTTAATACCACCTTATATGAAATTTAAGATCTAAACGAAATACACAAATACACATTTTATTACATGCATATATGTAATATTTAATGTGTATAAATTAAAAAGAAAACAAAATATAAATAAATGGTA